TGTGGTGGTTTTAGTTGCCACAATGCCTGGGAGGGCCTAATGTATTATTTCCATTACTAAACCTCTTGCATGAGACAGTCCCTAAAAGTGGAGAAATTATCCTGCTAAAAATGGAACTATTGCTTCTTTTAAAAACAATCGAAGTGCCAGGCTCATCTCTTAATGGTCTAAGCCCCTTGTTTGACAGGCTCCCACCTTAAAAGTTACCATAAGTTACTGTAATGTTTATTGTCCCTTCATATGCTAAGGTTGGGAAGCCTGGTTCATTCCCAAGGCCGCTAGGAGCTTTCCCACAAGTGGAATGCCAGCCAAGGTTTTACCCTGATGATTGAAAGTCCGATGAGCTTGGAGTTTTAATAGGTGAGATAAGCTGAAAGAGTGGTTCTGAATTCTGAATTTCCTAAAATAAGAAAAACCCCCACTTTATTTAGACAATCATATAGAAACACTAACTATCATAACATGTGTGCCTCAAAATGTAATTAAGCAAGGGTACCATCTAATACCTGTTCCTAAGCTTCTACGCTACCATTCACTGCTTCACTGAGGACTCTTTGGACTAAATTCTTGTACTTCATCTTTCAAACTGGAAACATTTCCCAGGGCCGGCAGGATCAGCGTGACCTGGAACTGTCGGAAATGCAGAGCCTCGGGCTTCCCCCCAGACCTACTGAGGCAGAACCTGCTTTTTAACAAGCTGCAAAGGCGGCTCGGACGCCTGTGAAAATGTGAATAACCCTGGGTGGTTAGGCAAGCATCTTCACATGCTCGGCTGGACTCATCTTCCAGGTTCGCATCTCCCTGGCACTTCTAGGTTTGAACCCAGTTTCAAGTGGAAGCATTTGTGAACATGTTCAAAGCCTTATTTCTCTATGTTTCGGCTAGAATGAGAAAGGAATTCCCAAGGGAGAAGTTCAGAAACCCTGGCCCTGGCTTCCTGCCTCTTCCCGCTGAATGGGGAAGTATCCACAAGGGGGAAGGGAGGACAGCAGGTCTCTGGTTTCCTGTGCCTGTGTTCCCTGCACTCGACCAGGTGGTCCCTGAGAGAGATGAACTGGAGGCTGGCGAACCTGTTGTCTGAGTAAAAGCCCACAGTATTGCTGGTTGTTTGTTGGTTTGTTTTAACCCGCAAATGGAAGTTTCTTAGTTGCTTTGAGAATCCCCTGGAAGTTTCTCTCTCTCTTCTAACATGATTTCCTTCTTTTGCAAATCATGCTTCCCTTAGGCTCATTCTAGGTAAAATTCTATGAAAAAGAACTCATTTTCTGAAAGAGCTCTCTTCCAGAACAAAACTAAGATTATATTAAAAATTTAAAAATTTAAATAAGCCTTACACAGTTTTGCGGGGGAAGAATGGCAGTGATCAAAAATTCAGTGGGAAGGCAGGGGAGGGGAGGGGGGTGGTAAAAGGACTTGTATGCATGCATATACACATAACCATTGAGACGCTAGGGGGGTGAGGGCATGTGCCAGGTGGGTGGGGGAGGCGGGGGTGGGGGTCAACAGGGGAAAAAGGAGACATATGTTCTACTATTAGTAATACTTTAAACAAACAAACAAACAAAAAGAATGGCAGTGATATGAACACAGGTTTCTTATTTGTTCTTGGCCAGTGATATTTTATTCCCTTTCCTCTTTCTTCCTATAGTTCTAGTTTCTCCCTCCCATGTCTCAGGGAAGGATCAATACTCCTCTCTTTATGAGCGCGGTGATTGAAAGGGAAGAGCAAAACTCCAGGACTAAAGATACTACACAACATGGATGATTGAGAATTGACTACAGGCCGTGTTTGCCCTTGAAATGGATTATACAGAGACAGATCTCTCATTTTTAATGTTCTTATCAAGAAAAATTTAAATACTTAATTTTGATAAGGAGAAAAAGAAACCGTAGTTCTTCTTGTTTCTTTCTCTTTCTCTTTGCCCACATAGGAAAAAAATGATAGCATGCTTCCTGTGAATGGCAAGTAATTCATGCACGCTCTGAATCACTGATGACTTTTTGAACCAGATTCTCCTGAGGCATAGGTAATTTTCTGGATATTTAATCTGGGCTGAAAGGACTAATGATGTTTTCTTAAAAAAAATAACAAAAAAAACAATAAAACAAAAAACAAACAAACAAACAAAACTTAACTAGGGCTATCTGTGAACTAGACCACCAATTTTTTAATTTTGGAAAGTAATGGAAACCAACCTAATGGGCAGACCTTTCCACCATTGGTTCCACTTCTCTGAACTCTGGTATCAACTGGAGAACTTACCAAGCTCTTTCTCTGATTCAGAAGCCCGAAGGCTCTGCCCAGGGCCCTAGCACCACTGTAAAGGCATTTTGAAGATACCGCTTTGTCAGAGCCTGTAAATAAGACCAGCAGCATCACAGGAATTGGGGATAAGGATGACATATCCAAGTACCACCTCTGAATTGAATTCAGGTTCTTATTTACAAAAATATTTTTGTAAGTTTCTATCATCATCATTGCAACCATCATCCTCAACACCCACAGCATCCTCATCTTTGTAATCCTACACAAGTCAGTAAGGAGGGGGGTGAGGAATGGAGACAAAGACTTAAAGAAACCCTGGTAAATAAATGTTAATTTGCTGTTAGGGAGACATCCTCACATACTCAATATACATCTTCCAGGTTTATGCTGTTCGGTATGGTCCTAGCTTCTGAGGTCTAAGATGCTGGTTAGCAATCGAGGAGAAAGAATTACTGAGAAGCTGTAGAAAGTGTCATATGTTCATGCATACCTGATAACTGTCTTCATACTTTCTATCTGGACACCATGTATGGAGCTGATTTTTAAGACCTATTGTTATAACTAAACATACACATTTTATGTTTTATTATTAAAATTTAATATACATTTTTTTTTTACCTTGTGGACATGTTGTTAAGAAAATCAGCTAACGGCTTTGATTGTCCGAATATTTCTTTTTCCTTTTCTAAAAATTCTCTTGGATAATATTGTGTAGTAGCATTTCTGGGATATTGCCTAATATATTAAAAGAAAATAGAATAACAAAAATAAGATAAAAGAGAAGCAAATATAGTCATGATAGGTCAAAGGGTTATCTCTGTGACAGTATTAGGTTATTATTTTATATTTAAATCTTGTAATTGAATTTCTTCTTTATCCTAGAAAATCAATGTTGACTGCCATTCAGAGTATTTGTATATTTCTCTCAAACATAATCAATAAGCTCTTATTTTAAAAAATCATTTAGATATCATTTTAAACTTACAGGAAAGTTGTAAGAAGAGTGTAAGAAACTCCCATACTTCTTTCACCTCAATTCATCGGTTATTAACATGTTGCCTCATTTGTTTGTCATTTTCTCTCTTGCCATTTCATCAAATCAGTGTTTCTTAACCAGTGCAATCCTGTTCCACCCCCACAGCCTGGGAACACTTGGCAATATCTGGAAACATTTTTGGTTTTCACAGCTGGGAAGTGTTATTGGCACCTCGTGGTTAGAGCCCAGGGATGCTGTTAAACACCCTACAATACACAAGACAGCCCCCTCCCTGCACCCTGTCCCCGACAGATAATTACCCAGCCCCAAACCTCAGCAGTGTTCAGGTTGAGAAACTCTGCTCTGAATATACGAAACCAGGAACAATGGACATTTAGGCAGCAGTGGCAGCAGATTCTCTGGAGGAAAGCTTCTCCAACCAGACTGGCTGCCCTCAGTGCTCACCTTCACCCTTGAACACATCACATTGCATTGTGCCTCTGGGCTTTGTCGGGCTCACCCATTACGCTGGGTGAGCAACTTGGTTTTAGGCTGTGGGGCCACAGAGAGGTCACATGACATAGTCCTTAAGAGTGTGCACCCTGCGCAGGCTGCCTGGCTTTGAAGCCTGAGTCTGTCACTTACCATGTGACCCTGAGCTCATTATTTGACCTTTCTGTGCCTGTTTTCTCATCTAAATAAAATTCTTAAAGTACCTAGCTCATAGCGTTATTGTAAGAATTGAATGTGTTAATACGGGCAAAGCTTTTAAAACAGCGCGTTTTAAGTGTTCAATAAACTATTAGATTGTACTTAATCTGTGTTTGTTGAGCAAATGTCAGTAAAATGTCTCCGTGAGAGTAATCAAAAAGAGAGGCAAAGAGGATTTTGCTAATACTGAATAGAATAATTCATGCCTCCCAAGCCCTGCCCCCGCCTAGACCAGTATCCATAGCAGAGGCAGAGTGATGGAAAGAAATGTTGGCACTGGCACCAAAGAGACTCGGGTTCAAATCTTAGCTTCACCTTTTAATTTCTATCCCACGGGTAGGATTAAGAAATTATATGGCACCTGATGGTTTCCTCAAGATAGCAACAGGACTAAGGGTCACTCTGATTTTTCTAAATGTGATTCGTTTTGTTGTTTTTCAGCAAATCTATTCATTATTGATTCAAATTTTAGTTATGTTCTAAATATTGAGCTTTCATTTTAACCTCTCTGCCTCAGTTTCTTTATTTTTAAAATGGAAACAGTGCCTACCTCCGAGGGCAGTTGGGAAGCTTAATTGAGTTGATGTGTGCAACGTGCTTATTAGAAGAATGCCTGGCTTGTGGTAAGAGCACTGTAAGCATCTGCCTTCCTTGCAGTTACTCTTTGAACCTCATCGTTGATTTTTTTCCTTTTTAGTTCTTTTATCGCAATCATATATCCCATCTCCTCCTCCTCAGACCAGCCAATTTCCTGATCTTAGTAAGTGGCACCAGCATTCTCTGTCACCTAGATTCGAACCATTGGAGTTCTTTTGATGCATTTTTTCACTTTGTGGGTCAAGACCTGTCCTTATTTCTCATCTGTTCACTCTAGCTGCTAGATAGAAACCACTGTCCATTATTACCAGTCAACATCCATTGAGAACCTACAAAGGTCCCTTTTGCCAGAAGTTCACTGTCCCTTTCTGAGTCGACCTCCTGAGTCTACCCTGGCTGACTCATTTTTGCCACTTTTCTGTACCCTGGCAGGAACATAGAAGAAGCCTCTGTTGGTTTAACTAAGAATTTTCTCTCAAACTCTAAGTTGTTTTTTTGTTTTTGTTTTTTGTACTAATGTAGCATCTCTCTCCTTCGAGTCTTACCCTCACCTCTTGGTGTTTATTAATCTCTGATGTTCTAATTCTCTGCTGAGACTCGACCACCAATCCTTGTCTTTCTTTTCAATTATTTGGTTCCGGATTGTATATTCATCTGCCTCCCTGGTTTCTGACCCATTTCTTGTCCTGACCCCTGGGTTCAATGTATATGTGCCTGGACGTTCACGTTGCTCTCTCATGGTTTCTGACTCGCTGCTTCACACAGAGCTGAAAAGCATGTTTTATACTACACTCCACACTGCTGACCCTGATTCTCCTGGGCACAGTCTCACTGCATATGTTATGGCTCTTCTCTTAACATTGAACTCAAGTCGGTCATCCCTTCTGACATTCTCCCTTAACTTGGTCCCTCTCTCCTTTCCTTCCTCATCCCTTTATTCCCTTCATTTAGTAAATCTGTGCCAGGAACGGTCCTAGAAATTGGGGACATAGAAGTAAACAAAATAGAGCAAGTGCCTGTCTCAGGAGCTTAAATTCTAAGTAGTAGGTGGGAAGAAGGTGAGAAAGGAGAGACAATGATAAATACATTTCAAGCGACAATAGTGCCATGAGGGAAAAAAATAGAGTAAGGGGGTAGACAGAATGGGGTTGCTGTTTTTATAAAAGAGTGTTGAGGAATGCCTCATTCAAACTGAGATCTGAATGAAGGAGGAAATGAACCCTAAGGTTGGGGGAAGAGCAGCCTATATAAAGGAACTGTGAGCATAAACACATCAGGTATGAGTATGCTTGGTGAATTCAGGGAACAAGGAAGCCACTGTGGCTGGAATGGATGAGCCAGGGAATTATGGGAAATGAGGGAATAGGGGCAAATGGGATCCCAATCAGTCTGGCTCTTCTATGGGAACAGAATGTAGGAGGGCAAGGATGGGTAGAGGAAGCCCAGTCAGGAGGCACTGCAATCATCCAGATAAGAGATGAAGAAGGCGTGGTCCAAGATGACAACAATGAATATAGGGTGTCCCCCCAAAAATGTACACACACTTTAACAGCTGATAATCACTTAATTTTGAAAATTAACTGTATGTCAATAAACACTGACTTTATAATCATTCAAAGCGTGTATACATTTTTTGGGACACTGTATATTTTGAAGGTAGACCCAACAGAATCCAAGGTTTGGGGTCTTAGTAATTACAAGAATATCATTGCCATTGGCTGAGATGAGGGAGATTTAGGGAGTTTCAGATTCGGAGGTAGGAAATTTAAAAAAATGTTTGTGGGAATGTTAAATTTGAGACTCTTATACATCCAAGTAAGATGAATATAAGCACGTGGAGTTCAGGGGGGAGATTCAGGTTGAAGACATAGATTTGGGAGTCATCAGCAAACAGATAATGGATAACAACAAAGGACTAGATAAATTCACCCCACCAAAGGACTGTTGGGTTTTGATTGCTTGTTTGAATGATGGCGGTTATAGCATTTTTTACTTTCATGTCTACTTTCCACCTGTCCTCTCAGTTGACTGCCACCACCTGACTTTAGACACTGGTCACATTTTTACCTGGTTTAGTGACAGCAGATTCCCACTTGGCCAATCTCTTCAACTCCAGACTTTCCCCCCTCTGCTTTCCAATACCTACTGTCCAGCTCATCTTATTTTAATACCTTATCATCCTGCTTCTCTCTTTTGCTTCAGAATCTGTCAAAGTTCCCCAATGTCTGCCACAGAGAAACCACTTCTCTATCTACCTCTGCTCCTCCCGTCCGTGTACCCGAGCTGGTCTCCTTGTGGTCCCAGGCAAAGTCAGTTCTTCCCATCTCCTTGAATTATTCAGGTCATTTTTAAAAAAATTGGACTGTTTTCCCTGTCTCCATTTCTCCAAATTACATGCAAATTATTTCAAAATAATTATTTTTTATTTCTAAAAAAATGCATAGCTTAGCTAAATATGTCTCCAAATTTATACAACATTCAAAGCCTAGCTCAAGTCCCCAAAATAGTCCTTTGACAACCCATTTCACATCAACTCATTCACTGAACACATTTTAATAAGAGCTGATGTGTGATACTGAAGGCAATTAATCAATGTTTCTCTCTCACATTGATGTTTCTCTCTCTCTTTTTCTGTCTAAGCATGTCTTCAAGTGAAGATTTAAAAAAGCATCCTTTAAAACATAATAATAATAAAATAAAGTTATTGAAAAAAACAAATAAAAACAAACATCAATGATGAGAATCATTGATCAGCTGCCTCCTGCACAATCCCCATGGGGGATCGAGCCCACAACCCAGGCATGTGCCCTGACCGGGAATGAAACTGTGATCTTCTTGTTCATAGGTCGACACTCAATCACTGAGTCATGCTGGCTGGGCAGGTAATTAATTGATAATTCTAATGAAAATAAAAATTTTATTTGCATACATGTAAAAATATCAGGAAAATACTAGCGAAACTCAAGGCCTTGCTTGATATTGTTATTTAAGGAAATTAAGTGAATAAAAAAAACACTTTAAATTTCAGCTTCAATAAATTTAATAATAATAAAAAAGAGCTGATGTGTGAAATGGTATGGTTTGTAGCCTCCCAGTGCTCTGGATCTAAGGCAGACAGGTAAGCAGATGAATACAATATGGATCCTCAGTGCTTTGTTAAAGACACTGAGCTCTAGTGGGGCCTCAGAGGAGGGAGTGGTCAACTCTACCTGGTGTTGCCAGGAAGTCACAGAGGAGGGGGCACTGAACTTAAGGGGTAAAGAAGGACAAGACGGACAAGGCAGTGAAGGGCATTTTATGCAGAGGAACAGCACTGCCAAAAGCAGGAAGATATGAAAGAGCAGATATTCTGGGAGATGAAAGCAGCTCATAGGACTAGAGCACAGAATGGGGTGGGGGAGGGGGAGAGGCTGGAGAGGCCACGGATACCATGCCATGGAAGAAGGAGAACCTCATAATGCCGTGCCAAGGAATCTGGATGTGTTGGGAGCCAGAGAAAAGACTGAGGCAGTGAAGTGACACAATCTGATTTGATATGTAAGAATGACGGCTTAGGTAGAATGGAGCAGTTAGGAATGGTAATGTTCCAGTTGAAAGCAATACTGTGATTATTAACAGCAGCCATCGTTTTCCAACTACATAGTCTTTACAGTCTTAAGTGTATCTCATTTTCTATTAAGGTTTAAAAAGGCGTAGTTGAAAGCCATTAGAACTTCCTGAATCGAATTACTCTATGTAGAAATATTTCATCACTGTCAATCCATTTCTATTTATTATAATCATGGACATTGCTAGATTTTACTGTCATTGCTTTTAAAAATACACATACCCATTGTATACTTACCATCTTGTCTGAGTACTTATATCCTTAATTTCAGGGACTACTTGCATGCCAACATCTTTCTCAAGTTGCTTAATAACAAAATTTTTATCTGGGTAGGCTGTGCATTCAATATAGGCATCTTTCACACTGGAAGCATTATGGTCACTGAACTTAATCGGTGCACCAAAATCAGCTCGTTTTCGAGAAATCATATATGTAATCTGCAACACGGGTAAGCAGTAAAGGTAACACAATTAAGTCCCTGGAGAAAAATGGATGCGGGGCGGACGACGCAGGTGCTCTGCCTAGATCTCTCAGATCCCTTTGGATACGCACTTTCTGTCCCCTCCAGCTCCGTGTGCTGTTTGTTCCCATGGCCACCGCCTGCTGCTCTTTGGGAAGCACCACGTTGCCCGCAGGTACAAGAACAGGAAGTGGCTGGCTGTTTACATCTCAACCCGTGATGGACTGATAGGAGACATAGGGGAGCTCATCTCTTCTGCTTCTCTTTGGCACAACTCTGGGGTGTGATTTAGCCTCCAGAGTTCCCCTAGGCCGCAGTGGTCGGCAAACTCATTAGTCAACAGAGCCAAATATCAACAGTACAACAACTGAAATTTCTTTTGAGAGCCAAATTTTTTAAACTTAAACTATATAGGTAGGTACATTGTTATTAATGTTATTAATTAGGGTACTCCTAAGGCTTAGGAAGAGCCACACTCAAGGGGCCAAAGAGCCGCATGTGGCTCGCGAGCCACAGTTTGCTGACCAGGGCCCTAGGGGTTCAGGCTGAAGCCTTACCGCCACTGAAATTTACAGGAGAGCGTTGTCCGTCTCCTGCAGCTTTCCCTATACTCTCAAAACAAGTCACTCATTTAAATCCTCCTCGCAGCAGCTGCTCTGGCAACACCACTGTGTCAGTTTCCTAGGGCTGCCAGACCCAGGCACCATAGACTGGTGGCTTAAAAAAAAACAGGAATTTATTCTCTCCCCGATGTGGAGATCAAGGTGTTGGAGTGTTTTTTCCCCTCCTGTGACTCTGAGGGAGAATCTATTGCTTGCCTCTCTCTAGCTTCTGGTGATGCCAGCAAACCTTGGTGTTCCTTGGCTTGTAGATACAGCACTCCAATCTCTGCCTCCTTCTTTCTCCTTGTGTCTCTATGTCTTCATATGGCCCTCTCTTTTTTTTTTTTTTAATATATTTATTGATATTTTACAGAGAGGAAGGGAGAGGGACAGAGAGCCAGAAACATCAATGAGAGAGAAACACTGATCAGCTGCCTCCGGCAACCAAGGTACATGCCCTTGACCGGAATCGAACCCGGGACCCTTGAGTCTGCAGGCCGACGCTCTATCCACTGAGCCAAACCGGTTCTGGCTGGCCCTCTCTTTATAAGGACATGGCTGTATTGGAATAGCACCCTCCCATTTCCTAGTAGGTCACATACTCAGGTACTGGGGGTTAGGACTTCATATCTTTTTTTGGGGGGGGTGGGGGTGGGATACAATTCAACCCATAATACACACCTGAGACAATGACCACTTTTCTATCCAAAGAAAAACCTCATGCCCATAGCAAACACAGAAGCCTTACAAATCCTTCAGGAATAAGCGTTATTCAGCTACAGGGAGGGAATGACTGGAGATAATAATTCAGGCCTCTGACCTGCTCTGTAGATGTCGTAACGGATTCTTCTTCAATTTCTTTTTCACTGCCCAAAGAAACCCATGGTTTAGAGACGGGTGGCTTATACTCGTATATTTCTTCAGGAATATAGTCTTCATCCTGCTCTTCCTGAGCTTCTGGGGGCTAGCGTAAAACAAATAACAGTCTAAAATACATGACCAAATTTAGGTTATAGCCACATCTGTACATTTTGCAATAAACTTTATTGTTATATAAATTCATTAATCACTTCCTTGTTATTTTTCTTTTTTGTTGGTTCCTTCTTTCCAATTATGAGAAGGAAATCAAGAAAAAAAAGAACAACAACAAATCAAAACTACAGACAGAAGATGACAGAAGAACAAAATAGGAGAGTAAAAAAAGAAAAGTCATGTGATAAGAAAAAAAAATTTACTGCACATCTTTATGACTATGGAACACTAAAACTTAATGTTAACTATAAAACTAGTTTCCTCTGACTTAATAAATTTTTTTGATAAGAGGATTATAAGTATGAATAAACATGATATATATGAAATAAAGAGTGAATGTTTTTAAATCAAGATACCCACAAGGAGTATACAGAGACATATATTAATACCTAAATCTATATCTCTATAGCTATCTATCTATAAACTGAATAAGTATCAATAGGTGAGTAAACTGACACATTGTGTTATCATCATAAAATAAAATTCTGTAAAGCAGTTGCAATGAAAAAACTTGATCTACATATATATGATATCTAAATGTATCAACATGGGTGAGGCCTAGAATTTTATAATTCAGTGATAAACAAAAATTGCAGAATGATTTGTAGAATTTTATGTGACTTTTAAATAAAACAATAAAATACATTATTTGTGGAGCGTACATATATGGTAAAAATATAAAACCATGGACAGAAGGGTATCTAACAACTCATATAGAGAGAAGTAGAATTACAGAGGATATAAGAGTGAATGAAGCATTATTTATTATATTTTATTACTTTAAAAAATTAAGTAAATATGATAAGATATTAATATTTGTTAATTCTGGGTAGTGATGGTGTGGATATTTGTTAAATTATTATCTAAACTTTTCTATACACTTGAAAATATTTCACTACACAGTTATGTGCTATATAATGATGTTTTGGTTAACAGATAGCCCCATAAGACTAAAATGGAACTAAAAAATTCCTATTACCTAGTGATGTTGTAGCCATGGTAATGTCATAACACAATGCATTTCTTTAAAAAAAATGTTTGTATTGATTTTGAGAGAGAGAGAGAGAGGAAGGGAGAAGAATAAAGAGACAGAAACATTGATGAGAGAAAAACTTCATCGATCGGCTGCCTCCTGCACACCCCCTACTGGGTTTAAATCTGCAACTCCAGGCATGCGCCCTGACCGGGAATTGAACCAGTGACCTTTTAGTTCACAGGTTGATGCTTAACCACTGAGCACACCAGCCAGGCTGCATTTCTTATATGTTGGTGGTGATACTGGTGCAGACAAACCTGTTGCGATGTCAGAAATATAAAGTATAGCACATATAATTATGCATAGTACATAATACTTGTTAATAATTATAAACAACTATGTATTTACTATACTACACTTTTTACATTATTGTATACTCTTTTTACTTATTAAAAAAAGTACTTTGCTATAAAACACATTATGCTGCAACTGATTGATATTTCTCTCTCTCTCCCTTTCCCTTCCTCTCTCAAAAATCAATAAAAAAAAGAGGTTCTTAGATTTAAAACAAAAAACAACACAATATGCCATGTTACACCAACAGCAGCCTCAAACATCTCATGTTTGATTGCATCATTTTGTCTTGTGCTTGATTTAATCTCGTATTGTTTGTATAGTAATGGTAGCCTAGGATCAATAGGCTAGGACCATCTAGGATTGTGTAAGTACACTCTACAATGTTCCCACAAGAAAATCACCTAGTGGCACATTTCTCAGGTGTATCCCCATTGGTAGATAGCACAAGACTGTAATAAAAAATTAAAAGCACAGAGAAAAAGCAACCATAAAAATAAAATTGAAAATATTAAGGCTAAGTAAACTATCATTTTTAGTTTAAAAAGTGTAGATGTTTTAAAATTCTATGCTTTACTTTTTCTTGTTTGTTCAACAACCACTCAAACCCCTCTGTCTACCTCCGTTTGACCAAACCTCCCCATAAGGATGCCCAGGTCAGAAGGCAAGTCTCAGAAACTCATTACCTGCCATGGCCACTTGGAACAAAATACCTTGAAGGTTAACTAATTATTTTTTCTTTGAAAGCTACAATTTTTAAAATTTCTGCTTCCCTCCTCGCCAACGGCCCACTGGCCAAGTCATTCTTTTAAAATCTTACTGTTCAATAATCATAGCAAACACTATAATAAGGGCTTTACCTTGTGTTAGCCTATTTAATTGTTATAACAGGCCTGGAATGGGCACTGTTGGTGCCACCGTTTTGCAGACGAGAGGTTTAGTAAGTTACCCAAGCTATGGAGATGGCAAGAGGAGAACCAGGAATATGGGCCGGGGAGTGGCTGAGGGCAGTGGTACTCCAGATTTCCTGTTTCTGCTCTCATTGAGCCAATAAAGGCAAATAAGTAAGAGTATCTGCTACCCTGAGATGTTTGCCTTAGTTCATCCCACATTTACTCCTTACTTACTCTAGGTGCCAGAACTCGATCCAGGCCCTGAGATAAGGGGGCTGAACAAGAAGAATCATAACCATGCATAGTTCTCCCCAAGAGGTACCGCTCCCTTCTGATAATCCACAAAACGCAAGGGCTTGGGTGTGCTTACATTTAAATAGTTTTCCTTGCCCTCTTCTGTTCCAATAACATAAAAGTTAAGTCCAAATTCGAAGTCTTTGTCATAAACAACCAGAATCTCATCTCCAGGATATTCCTACAGGAATATAATCAAAGGAGAAGGTTATAGAATATTCCATCCAAAAGCAACAGAATATACAGGGTAGGCAAAAGTAGGCTTACAGCCGAAACAGGTTTGGCTCGGTGGATGGAGCGTCGGCCTGCGGACTGGGGGGTCCCGGGTTCGATTCCGGTCAGGGGCATGTGCCTGGGTTGCGGGCACATCCCCGGTGGGGGATGTGCAGGAGGCAGCTGGTCGATGTTTCTCTCTCATCGATGTTTCTGGCTCTCTGTCTCTCTCCCTCCTCTCTGTCAAAAATCGATGATATATATATATATATATATATATATATATATATATATATATATATATATAAAGTAGGCTTACAGTTGTTTATATGGGAAATAATACAATAACTGTACAATAATATTACAAGAATAAACTTTCTGTTTTGCACACTCATAACTCTAAACCTCCTTTTGCCAAGCCCTGTACATTCTTTTCAAGTGCACATGAAACATTTAAAATGATAGGTCATATATTAGGCCACAAAACAAGTCTTAATAAATGTAAGAGGACTGAAATCATATCAAGCATATTTTTTGACCACCATGTATAAGACTAGAAATTAATTACACAAAGAAAACTGGAAAATTCACAAATATGTGGAGATTAAACAACTGAAAAGGAATGAAGGCTAATGAAGGTTAATGATGTCCAGTTGTCATTCAATTTATTCAGACATCGACACAAAATTGATATTTTTCTAATCAATCAATCACAAAAGATCACCATACTACTAATCTATGGCCAATAGCCCAAGTTGCAAAATTACTTTATTAACTCTAAAAAGCTTTTAAAATACAGTAGGTCCAGGGAAATTTACCATGCAATTTTATTTCTAACAGGAAAAAAGAAGCATTTCTTTAGTTTGGTGTTGTGCTCTGTTGCATGCTTGGAGACAAATCAGGAAAAAAAATTATGAATTAAACAATTAAGATAGTATGGGAAAATAAGGGTAGATTCCTGTTCTGGTTACAATTGGGCAAGGATCAGCGTTTCTGGGTGTGGAATAAGACAGTCACTAAGTGTCAGTGAGTGTTTGCTTTTCACCGAGGATCATCCAGCAGGATTCCCAAGGTGCGGGCAAGCTCGTATGTGCCCAAGCTCACGGCAAATGCCAGATTTGAATGCAGCAATCGCTCCAACTGTCATTATTATGTACCAGGAACCCCTTGAAGCAAGACTGAAAAATGAAGAGGGATGTTGCACTTACCTGGATAATTTTTTTGACTGGGTAGAAATCAGATACTGCAGCTCTGTTTTGAAAGTCTGCCAAAATATCTTGTTTTTTGATAAGTTTATAAGGTTGCTCATCTGTCACATCTTCATCTATTCGGCAACTGAATATTTCTTGAGTCTTGGTAGTTAACACTAAAGGATAAATTTCTGGATGACCTGGGGAAGACAAAGTGGAATTTTGATATTAAATGTAACCACGTAAAACATTAGCAATGGGAAACATGCAATTGTTTGCTTTAAATACCTGTCTTGGTTAAAATTTTTAAGTCTTTAAAATCATTGCTCTTATTTTTTAAAATATATTTTATTGATTTCAGAGAGGATGGGGGAGAGGGGGAGAGAGAGAGAGGGAGAGAGAGAGAGAGAGAGAGAGAGAGAGAGAGAGAGAGAGAGAACACAATGATGAGAGATAATAATTGATCAGCTGCCTCCGGCACTCCCACTACTGGGGATGGAGCCTGGAACCTGGGCATGTGCCCTGACTGGGAATCAAACTGTGACCTCCTGGTTAGGTCAAAGCTTAACCACTGAACCTCACCAGCTGGGCTCATTATTCTTATTTTTAAAGTAAGTCTATCCATTATAAAAACAAATGTCAAAAAAAAGAAAAAAAGAAGAAAATAACAATTACCCATATTACTATGTGTCAAGAGAGAACCTCTATTAATAGTTCGCTCTACTTCCTTCTAGCCACTCCATATGCAATATCTTATATGAAATTTTAAATACTGCCTTTAATACTTAATGTATGTCACAAGTATTTTATTATACATTATATAATCTTTCTAACATATTTTAAATTCATGCAACTCTGTAGCATAATTTTTCACAGTTCTGTTGTTGATAAACATTACATTTTTTTCTCATTTGTTTCCAATGATTGTAAATAACTCTACAAACAGATATGTAGTGCTTAATTTTTTAAAATCGCATTTTAAATTATTTTTAGGGTAGTTTTTAAAAATGAAATCATTGGTCCAAAGGTATGATCACCTTTTCAGGCTCTATCAAACCTGCATTGGCTTTCTAAAGCATCTTCCTGCTCATCCCTCACCTGCTGCTCTCTCTCACTGTATGACCTCACTTCCTGTTTCACAGAAAAATTCTGTGTCTGTAGAGCACAGAATCCCATAGCCTGGTCTACCAGCTGATTGGCACAGGCACAACCTTCCCTCCCTTCCCTCCATTCAGACCTGCCTGTCCCTCTCTACCCTTTTCAGTCATTCAGACCCATTCACGTTTCCTCCTTTCCTACCTCTGTGCTGTTTTCCCTCAGCATTTGCCCACTGGTCTCCTATTTTAAAAAACCTTCTCTTGACCTTACCAAGTACCTCTACTCCCTAAGGCTCCTTCTTTTCACAGTCAGACTTGTAACTCCATTCTTCACATTTTAAAGCTATTGACTTCCCATTAAGTTGCATTTCCAGACTCTTGGAAGTGGAGAGAAAGGTGGGGTGGGGGTCCTTTTTCCCTCCTCAGTCCTAGGTTTGCCCTCAGAAGAGGAGGGAAGCTAGGTTCAAGAGGCTTCCATTCCTGTTCTTCCTGTCCCTGTTCCCCCCACCCCAGGTCAGTCCTCCCCAGCAGCAGGCCCTAGGACAGGGGGTGGAAGAGGATAGGTACCAGCTTGCATGTTGCCATTCCCTCTAACAAGCCTTCTTCTCATTTTTGTATCACCATCAGCTTCCAGCACCTCAGTCTCAGCTCTGCATCTTCCCCCAGAACTCCCTCCCCAACTCCATGCTCCCAGGAGCCCACAGCCCCTCCCATCTTCTCCAGGCCCTACACATCTGGGTGTCCTGACATCCTTCCTCCCACTGCTCAACAGGTGCGTCGTCAAGGGGACAAGTGCATGTGGCCTCTGACATTGGAATTTTGAATGTATTTTCCCACCGAAACATTTACCCTCGTCCGAGTGGCTCTATGGTACAATTATTCAGGTAATTTTGGAGTTTTAATGACTGTATGCATAACACTGATTCCCAATAGCAATCGGTTGGCATAACAAACATTTGGACTACAAGTTGTTCATAAGTTACGGACAAACTAGGAGACGTTCAATAAACAACTGTTGAGTCACATACAGATTATCCTTTGAGAACATTCTGCCAACGATAATTCGTAGTGTCTAATGCATAATAAAAGCTCTGCAGTTTTGCCTTTGAAAACCACCAGGTGGATCTGAGAGAACCATGCTGAGCTAGAGCCAAGAAAGAGGTGGCGTCCTTCATAAACGGAGGCCAGAAAGCCTCTACCATCCAAGAAACAGGAAAGACAATGACAAAGACTGTGTTCCATGTCACCTGCCCCCACTAACATACTTCATATTCTGCTAGCGGGACAGTCTTCACTAAAATGACCCTGTCACACTGATTGGACTTCACCAAGGCAACCTTAACGTAGACTCTAACTTTCCTGTATCTGGAAGTTAGTAAAACGAGTAGACTGTTTCTAGTTGCAATTGGCAGTCACTCATAACTTCATGCATAATCCCCACAGTCTACCACTTTCAAGCTCTACCCGAACAATGGCCAAACTTAACAGAGCAAGGCCTGATGCTTCCGGCTTCCCCCAAGGGTCTCTGGCAAAATTCAATAAAAGGATACTGCTATTTAGGCATTGAGGCCTACACTGAAGACAGCACCCCAGGCATACAACAATGAGGCGATGGTGATTAGCAATGAGGTGGGCTATGGGCTCAGTCACGCCTCTAGCAGAGTGGGATGTTGGTTGCTCCAGGAGGGCGAGAAAGTTGTTGCAGCACAGGAAAAGGCCTGCAAGGCTTCCTGAAGCTTACAGAGTCAGGAGCAAGACCTGCTGGGGAGGGTGCCAAGCGAGGGTGGTGAGTGAATAACAATGTGGGTGCATAATAGCCAGGTTAATGATAGTAACTTCTGTAGAGCACCTACTGCATGCAAGTGCTGCTCTAAGCACTTCATGTGTATCATTAATTAACTTAATCTTTACAACAACATTCTAGGTGGTTACTATAAGTGCATTTTTTTTAAGCTGAAGAAAGGGAGTCCTACAGAATTCAAATACCATATTCAAGGTCAGGATCTAGGAGTTGGAAATAGAGGATCTGGGATTCAAACCAAGGTCCCTACACTCTAACTACCCTCCTATACTTTCTCTCCAATGTGTGAACACCGCAGAGCCCCAGGAGAGGGGCCTGCTCCTTCTCCACACACAGTCAGAGAGGTGACAGGGGTGGCATTCCACAGGATGCGGTGAATGGCAGTTATTTACCTAGTTGACCAATAGAGCAGGAGCCAAAAACGGACCCAAATTCTATACAACTCACTCCTGGAAATCTTACTGTGTCAACAAGGAAGAGGCCTATGAAGTATAAATCATGTCTTGCATGTTGAAACAGAATTAAAGAGCTCCCAAGCATTTCATCTGTATCTTCTTTTTTAAACATTTTGTTTGCTGTTTACTTTTTAAAAAACAGTTATTATCGAGGTTTAATTGACAAATAATAAACAGTGTGTATTTAAAGTGTACCATTTGCTCAATATATGCACATATCCATGAAATAGTCAGTGGGTATTATTCACACACATTGTTATTCACATTGGGTATGGTATCTAGGAAATCTTTGCCTAATCCAAGTTCACAAGATTTTCTCCTATGTTGTCTTCTAGAAGTTTTAGAATATTTGGTTTTACATTTAGGTTTATGATCCATTTTGAATTAATTTTTGGGTATGGTGTGGGGTATAGACTGAAGTTCACCTTTCTGTATACAGATATGCAATTGATCCAGCATTGTTTGTTGAAAAGACTACCCTTCTCCACTGAATTACCTTTGCATTTTTGTTGAAAATCAATTGACTACTTATATGGGTCTATTTTTGGACCCTCCCTTATCATTTATTGATTGAATTCACTATTTTTATGGCATCTTTTTAACAAATTTGTTTTTCAGTTACAGTTGGCATATAATATTATATTAGCTTCAGGTGTACAACATAGTGATTAGACATTTATATACCTTACCAAGTTATCGCCAGTTAAGGTGAACTTTGGGATAGCCTGCTGGAGGCTAAAGCCAACAGCAGTTAGCATATTAATGCAAAAAGAAAACACTGGAAGGTCAATGGACTTTGATATTCAGCAGGGCTGAAAATCAGCATAACACTGCCCTGCTGTGGGCTCAATGGCTCAAGGCAATTTCCTAACCTGATAATCCTTATACTATTTACCTAACTTTACCTTTAATCTCCTGCATGCATTGCTAAAGAGCAAATGTGTATTCAAGTAAATAAAAGTGGACCAGGCAGGAAGTTGGTGTGTCTCTTCAAGAAAGAGGCTCCACCTGGCTCCCAATGCCTTCTAAGTTCATATTTCTTGTATAGCATTTTCATTTGTGGGTCAGCCTCTCCTTCAGATCCTGAACCCTGCTGCGAAGGTCGCGGCAACAGCCTAGGTAAGAAAGTGTGCAGGTACTACCTGATCTAACTTCTGCAGAGTCTCAGGAGGTGGGTGTCACTACCTCATTCTTGGGATGAAGTAGAGACTCCAAGAGGGAAAGTCATTTGTGGCCACACAGTCACAAGTGGCAGAATTATGATTTGAACCAGGTCTCTTTAATTTCAAAACCTGTGCTATTATTAATCACCTGTGATGAACAGAATGATGTTCTCTAAAAGATGTCCAGGGCCTCATTTCTGACACCAGTGAATTGATTGATTACATCAATGACCCTGAGATGGCAGGTTATTGGGCTCTGAGATGGGCCCGATGTAATCACAAGGGTCTGTGTAAGGCAGGAGGGTCAACGTCCAGGAAGGAGACATGACAGGGAGGCAGAGGTCAAAGAGAGAGAACGTTTAGAAGATGCTATGCTGCAGCCTTTGAAGACAGAGGAAGGGACCAAGAGTCAATAAATATAGGGCGTCTTTAGCTAAAAAAGGGAAGGAAACATTTTCCTTTCAGAGATTCTGGAAGGAATCGGCCCTGCTAACATCTGGACTTTATCCCAGTAAAAGTAATTTCAGACTGTTATTTCCAAAACTATAAGATAATAAATTTGTGGTAATTTGTTATGGCAGCAACATGGAACTCATATGCCACTGATACCCTAACCTGTATTAAAGTATGATTTGTAATTATAATTTGAGTAAATTATTTAACTTTTGGGAGTCACAGCACCTCCATCTTGTCATGGCCATAATAATCTATACTAATAAAAGGGTAATATGCTAATTAGACCAGAGATCTTCTGGACATCCTTCCGGACAAAGCCATGGTGGTGGAGGCCAAGGCAGAGGCAGATAGGGGTGGCCAGACTGGTAGGGGGTTAGTTAGGGGGCGGCCAGGATGGCAGGGTGGCAGTTAGGGGGTGACCAGGTAGTCAGGCAGAGTTGGTTAGGGGCGATAAGGCAGGCAGGTTAGGAGCCAGCGGTCCCAGATTGCAAGAGGATGTCCAACTGCTGGTTTTGGCCTGATCCTGGCAGTCGGACATCCCCCTCATGCATGAATTTCGTGCACTGGGCCTTTAGTCCTATATAATGAAAGCCTAATATGCAAATCGTCCCCTCGGGCGGTCATTTGGCTGGGAGTTCAACTGCTCATTATGGCATGTGCTGACTACTAGGGGGTGGCGTGGAACATGGTAGGCATCGGCAATGCAGCGTTGGCAGCAGGTGGCAGTGGAGGCACTGCCAGCCGTGATGGGCCCTGATGAGAGCAGGACTGCAGTGGGATGGTGGAGCAGGTGAGCGGGCAGCAACAGGCCAAAGCAGGTGCAAGTGGGGGGCCCCCGCAGGTGGTGACCAGCGGCGGTGGTGGCGGGGCAGGGCTGCTGCCTGGCTCCCAGGTGATGAGGGAGCTGGGTGGGGGGCCCAGCCCCAATCGATTGCCCTGCAGGTGGGATGGTGGAGCAGGTGAGGGGACAGCACCAGGCCAAAGTGGGATGCCAGGCAGGGCTGTGGGGCTGCGAGGCTGGAGGCGTGAGATGGGGCCTGATCCCTGCAGGGCACCCTGAGGGACCCCACCTGTGCACGAATTCATGCACCCCCTGGGCCTCTAGTGCTTATTATATTATAGAGCTAAAGGGATACTACTCTCCTGAGTTGCCCTTAGGTCCTCAGGAGACAGTTGGTTAGCTGGTCTGCGGGACCCTTGATCCCTTGGTCCCTTGGTCCCTTGGTCCCTTGGTAGGAAAGGGAGTCCTTGCCCCCTGGAGCATGACAGCCATGAGGCCCGAGTGATGTTAATAATGTCAGGATCCCATAGCAAGGACGTCAAAGGGATCCTGATGTTACCCTGAGAGAAGTCCTGGAGTAGAGGAGGAAGGTTCTAGTATAGTGGGATGCTAAATCAAAATCTACTTTCAAGTCTCACTGCAAAGTTCTGAGGTTTGTTTGCTTGTTTTATTCTCCAATAAACAAACAAACTCACTTCTCTCAGTCCTTTTCCTTCCAGCTGAAACATCTCTACTGTGTCCCTTCTCAGGTCCATGGAGGTTTTTGTTTGTTTGTTTTGTTTTTTTATCAATTATTTAGTCAAGAAATAGTGATTGAGCACCTATTATATGAAAAGCATAATGCTAGTGCCTAGGTGTACAGTCTAGAGGGGGGCACAAAAAACAGACAAATACACTCAAATATATGTAAGTACAAGTTGTGAAAAGTGTTAACTAGGAGAGAACAGGGTGAGAGATAGAACTAAGGAAGGTAGGAGTGGTGATGGGTTTACTTAGACAGGAAGAATAGAGAAAGCAATTCATTAATTCCTTCACTCATGCATGCAATCAATCAATCAATAAATATTTATATAGTATGTATTATGTGTCAAGATCTGTTCTAAGCATTGGAGTACAAGAGCGTTTCTGTTCCCAGAAGTGTGTGTGTGTGTGTGTGTGTGTGTGTGTGTGGATGTGTGTGAGAGAGAAAGTGTGTGTGTAAATAGATTATAAATGCATTAACAAATAAATAGTTGATTCTCATTATTTACTAATTTTGTATTTGCAAATTCACTTGCTAAACTTTATTTGTAATCCTAAAATCAATAGTTGTGGCACTTTCATGGTCATTAGTGGACGTGCTCAGAGTGGCAAAATAATTTGAGTTGTCCAATGAGCACATTGCGATCTGAAGTCCAACAAGCCCATGCTCTGCATCTTGTTTCAGCTCAGATAGGAAACAAGTGTCCTTCCACTGTCTATTCAGTGCCACATTTTCCACATTTTTGTGCTTTTTATTGGTGATTTTGTTATTTAAAATGATCCTCAAGTGTGGTGCTGAAGTGCTGTATAGTGTTCCTAAACTCAAGAAGGCTGTGACACCCTTCACGAAGGAAATCCATATATTAGATAAATATGGTTAAGGCATGAGTTACAGTGCTGTCTTCTGTGAGTGCAGTGTTAATAAATCTATAATAATAAAAGCGTAATATGCTAATTTCTGGACAAAGTCATGGTGTTGAAGGCTGAGGCAGAGGTGGCAGACGCGGCCCCCCCTCATGTCCCCCTTGCCCCCCCCTCCCCGCCAGCTGCCACAGCAGGGGGGCCAAGCCCCTTGAACAAATTTCATGCATCATGCCTCTAGTATATGTATAATATATATATATTATATATATATATATATATAATATGTATATATATATATACACACACACACACACTATATATATATATATATATATATATATATTAAATAAAGTATCTTTAAAAGGAAACACACATAAAAAGGTTATATATTGATTGGTTAATGGAAATGTTATGACCAGAGGCTCATAGAAATCTAACCCTGTATTTCCTCTAAGAGGAATGCCTCAGTATTTGCTACTTTGGTGTTCACAGAAACTGTATAGAACATCCATAAAACAGGAGAATCAACTGTACTTTAACTTCAGAATTATGGTAGGTGCTGTGAAGGCAAGGGTACTAGATGAAAGAAGCCTTCAGGAAATGCCTCTTCCAGAGATGGGACTGGAGTCTAGACCTGAACGATGAGGAGATAGTTGCATGGAGATCTGGGGAAAGAGCTATCCAGGCACATGGAGCCAGAGCAAAGGCCCTGAGGCAGGAACACACAGGGCAGGTTCTGAGCTAGGCAAGACTGGTGAGCCATGGATGGGGCAGAGGGTGAAGAGAAAAGACCAGAGAGGAAGGCAGAGCCAGGGCCACTATAAGGACAAAAAAAAAGCCTTGGGGGAGTTTAAGCAAGAAGTAGACTTGGTAGGTTGCCGGGTGCAGAAGGGATTGAAGGAGGCTGAGTGGAAACAGTGATACCAGGTAGGAGCTAAGGAACTCATCTAAGTGAGGAATGTGGAGGCTTGGACTAAGATAGTAGATGTGGAGATAATGTGAAATGAACCAGTTTGAGATATATTTTAGAGGTGAAATTGACAGGAGTTGGGCTGATTTAAAGGGGAGTAGGGGTGTGGGAAGAGAAAAGGGTCAAAAATGGCTCTGGCATTTAAGGGTGATACATTCATTAATTCAATACATACTTGTTGGGCAATGGGCATAGTCTGCTCCAATGCCATTTACTGTTAGCTGACATCCCCCTACCATCTCCACCCGCTCTGCCACCCTGGCCCAAGCCACTGCCTTCTCCTTCCTGGATTGTTGCAATAGTTCCCTAAGCAGTCTCTACTTCTGTCCTCACCCCTGCAGTTCTCAACAGAGTAGACAGGTTAACCCAGTCGAAACATAAGTCAGATCATGTCACTGCTCTGCTTAAATACCACCAATAGTTGCTTATCCTGTATGATTAACAGCCAAAATCTTCACAACGGCCTACAGGCTCTTAGATCTTTCTCTTTCCACCCTTGCTGTCTCCTCTGTTTCCAAACATGAAGTGCATTATCTAAGTCAACTCTAAGAGAAAGTTTCAGCAACAACAAAAACAAAGGCTTGCTAGTTATTTAGCCTCTAAAAGTAAAAACAACATTAGTTTGGCTGTCTAAGTCCTAGCTTCTTTGCTTAACAATCAGCCTTTCTCCTTGAAATAGTGGAATCTTACTGGGAAGTACAGATAAATATTGTTTATGAGCCAGAGTTTTAAAAATATCATTCTAATAAAAGTAATAGCTTGCAGACTTACCACACTTTATAATTACAAAAGGTCTCTCAATCATCATTCAATTTGGATTTTGAAGGGGTGAGTTGGCCTGAGTCTATTTCTCAGTTTAAAATTCTCTCTTTCACTCTTACTTTTTATTTTCTTTAACATCTTTCATTTTATATTTGAAATGACCCGATGTGATTTTAGTCCATGTACATGTTGATCAGTTGCTTCAATTTGTACGATTTTCACTTGCTTACTGTGTATTAAAATATTGCACCTGGGGATGGTTTCTAAATTGTTTCCACTTACCCAGGCTCTCCATATTTACAGGTTCTGCTTCTTCACTACCTGGAATATAACAAAATAATGTCAAATTTACATTTTTGAATCAAATATATATCCTAGCTTATTACATATTTTTAACCAGGTCTGAAGACACAAAACATAAATGCAAATATACGATGAAGTCTTAAACTACTTTATGAATAATTAAATAAACAGAATCTGAATAACTGTCTTTCTCACAGAATTATCTCTTCATGATATGTTTCCTATGGTGTTGAATGGTAATGAAATACATACAAAATGAGAATAAATGCCCATGTTTTGAATTCCACTTGTGTTTAGCTTTATGACAGCCAACACCATGATAATTTTGGCTGCTAACTGTACAAATACTGAAGCCATAAAAATCCCATTAATGAAAAGACAATCCTACCAAGTGTTAGGTCCTTATTTTCACCATGTTTTCCTTTTTTCTTTTTGCCACGTGGATTCTTTCCTCCTCGAGGTTTTGGAGCCATGGCTCTGACTCAGGCTGCACAAAGAGAGAATGCCATTAGATGTCTGGCTCACAGGTTCAAATAGCAAGCATTAGCATTTGGTAAACATGAGTATGTTTTCTAAGTTGAGCCTTTGGCTAACTCATCTTTATTTATTTTTAAAATATATTTTTATTGATTTCAGAGAGGAAGAGAGAGGGAAAGATAGAAACATCAATGATGAGAGAGAATCATTGATTGGCTGCCTCCTGCATGCCCCCTACTGGGGATTGAGCCCACAAGCTGGTCATGTGCCCCTGACTGGAATCGAACCCGGGACCCTTCAGTCCACAGGCCTACACTCTATCCACTGAACCAAACCAGCTAGGGCAACATGTATCTTTATAGAGTTGTTGTTCTGGGGGCAGAGGTTTATTGCAACAACAATCTTAGTCTACCAGCGGTTCTCGACCTGTGGGTCTCGACCCCTGAAAATACATCCTGCATATCAGATATTTACATTACGATTCATAACAGTAGCAAAATTACAGTTATGAAGTAGCAACGAAAATAATTTTATGGTTGGGGGTCACCACAACATGAAGAACTGTATTAAAGGGTCGCGGCATTAGGAAGGTTGAGAACCACTGGAAGACCTTGCCATTCTGGGGGAGCCATTCAGCTGAAACACAGGGCAGTGACCTGCCAACTCCTCCAGGTTTCAGCCTCAGACCCTGCCATGGAAGCACCAGAGAGGACGCCGCTGCCCCGCCTCTGGCTGTGGTTCTGCACCCCGGGAGCTGCTCCGTGCTGCCCTGTGCCCGGCTCCCTGGCAGGTGCCCCAGCTACAAAGACAGGTTTAAAGTCCAGGGGCAGACACAGGCCGACAGTGTGCACATATGCACATAATTATAAAATTAACATAGTGTAGATAGTACTTTTGTCCTAGCATGCGTGCATGTAACCACTGTGTCCTTATTTGTGCTGTCAGAAAAGGCCTCCAAATGTTTCTGGGGGGTTGCTCATCAATTTTGACAGGACATAGCTCTGGCCAAGGGCCTTGCCATGATACCAAACCCTTCTCATCTCCTCAATGCTCACCTTTGCCCCGTCTTGTTCAGTGGCTAGGAATGTGATTTCAAGAGTCTAACCAGAGGAGTCTAAAAACAGGCTCTACCTTTCATCTGCTGAGTGACCCTGGGCTAACTGTTGACCTTCTGAGTTTCAGCTGATTCATCAGTTTAACGGAGATAATCAAACCTAACACACAAGGTGGTTGTGAAGATGAAATAAAGTCGCATCATCATCAACTCAGTCATCTTACACTGTTTACTGTTTGTCTCATTTTAATAAACCAAACACAGATTGAATATTATTTCATAGTGTGGGGAAGGAGGAAATGTTCCTCTACCCTTGGTTGATCTAATAATCAAATAGATTTGAGACAGATTAACCAGAGAAGATGACCCAAATTTAACACGTATATATGGCTGGAAACCCTGCATATATGAGAGTCAGAGACTCCACATGCACCGAGGTTCAGAGACAGAAAGGGGAACTGAGGTATGACGTTGTGAGCTAGGGAGGAGGTAATGCACCGTGGGCCTCCCAAGGGGCATTTCAGGAGAGCACGTGTTCAGTAATTATTAGTGTGCCTACCATATACACAGGTAAGGTAAAATGTCATTTCTGGTATTAATTCTTATCGTGGGCCAGCCTCCTAATTTAATTCTCCTAGATAGGGCAGGGAGCATGAGTTTCTCTCAAACCTGCAGGGTTCTAGTTGCCTTTAGCTCAAAACAATCCACATACCACTAAGACTGACATAGGGGTACCTTGTCTGCACCCCAGCAATTGCCCATAGTCAAAACATCATGAGTTTTATTTTATAACCAATATCTTGATGACTAAATCTTGACTAAAGTGTGGGTATGCGTCTAAGTGTTTGAGCATACACATTTTTTCCTTCAAAATGTTCACATATATTTTTTCAAATGATAATAATGACAGCTCATGTTTGGTGAGTGATATGTGCCAGGCATGATTCAAAGTAATTTACATGTACTATTTATTTTTATTTTAACCAACCTTTTAGGTAGGCATTTTATTGGTTGATTTTAGAGAAAGAAAGGAGAGAGAGAGGGAGAGAGGGAGGAAAGGAGGAAGGGAGAGAGAAATATGTTGTTCCACTTATTTATGCATTCATTGGTTGCTTCTTATACATGCCCTGACTGGGGATCAAACCCAAAACCTAGGCGTGTCTAACCACCGACTGAGCTACCCCACCAGGGCCTAGGTAGGCATTTTATTCATGCTATTATCTTCATCTCCATTTTATCATGTGAAAACAGAGGCCCCAAGAGGTCAGGTAACTTGCCTGAAGGGACTTATAAGCCATGAGCCATGGAGGCAGAGCGTGAGCCCCAGCGGCCTGGCTCCAAGTTCTGCACTCCTGACCTTTGTTCAAACTATTTCAGAGGTAACTACTGTGTTTCATTACAAATCAAGCTGTTTAAGATAATTGTCTTTACCTAGAAAGTTATGATTTAACATTTTAATTAACATTTTATGTTTCTGACAATTTAGGAATTTCTACTTTTTTTGTATTTTATATTATTTTTTCACATGAAATAAACATTCATATTTCAAGAAAAATGATTTTAAGTATAATAATGTTACATGCAATAAACATGAATATTTCAGGAATTTAGACTTTTTAAATATTTTGCAATGGGTGGCTCTGACCCAACTCTTCAGCTTGTCAAGTGTCCATCCCACTTTCCAGCCTTAGCATAATTTCAAATCTTGGACCTAGACCTTTTTTCAAAATATTCTCTGTAAATGTACTCTATTAATATAAATGAAATATTCTATTCCAGCTGCATTTGACTTTAAATATTCAAGAATACCACCTGGACCCATCCCCCCCCCCCACACACACACATGCATAAACACACCATCACCACCACCACTACCATCGCTATTCATTCTAGAAATATTTATTGAGCAACTATGGTATACCAGATGCAGGTGTTAGGAATACAGCAGTGAATGAAAGAGGCAAACCATTGCCTGATAGAGCTCACATGCTAGGGGGGAGACAGGCAGCAAGCAAATAAAGAAGCAAAATAATGAATACTTTACATGGTGATAACTATTAAAGAGAAAAATCAAGTAGGAAGGGGAAACAGATTGTAGGAGTGCAGATGTTGCAATTTTTTATTAGTCAATCAGGGAAGGCCTCATTAATAGACATTGGAGCAAAGACCTAAGAAAAGGAGGAAGCAAAAACTGTAGATAACGGAGGAAAGAAGGGTGTTTCCAGGCAGAGGGAATGATAAGTGTAAGGGTTTTGGGGCAGGAGTATGCCTGGCACATTTAAGAAAACAGCAAGAAGGTCATGATGGCTGGAGCAGAGTGAGTGAGGGGAAGACGAGGAGATGAAGTTGGTCAGAGAGATGGGGATATATATTAGTCAGCTTTGCTGCAGTAACAAATGTTCCCCAAGTCTCAGTAACATGCACCAACAAACATTTATTTCTTCTCATGTTCTGTCTTGTGGCTGAGAGTGAGTTGCTGCTTCAAGTCTTACTCTGGGACTCAGGCTGAAGGAGCAGTCCTGATTTGATACATGTTACTTTCATGGCAGAAGAAAAAGTGAGAAAGCTGACAGAACCACGTAATGCCTTCTAATTCTTCTCCTTGGCATCGGCATGCTGTCCTTTCTGCTCACATTCCACTGGCCCAAGCCAGCCACACAGCCAATCCTGATAATGGGGAAGGAATATAGGCTTGCATGGTAATGGATGGGAATATATGATCCTCTTACAGAGAAAGGAGGTAATAGTATTATATAACAATTATATAACACTAGAGGCCCAGTGCACGGAATTTGTGCACTTGTGGGTGGGGTGGGGGGTCCTTCAGCCCAGCCTGTGCCCTCTTGCAGTGTGGGAGCCCTTGGGGGATGTCCCGTGGGGAGCAGGCCTAAGCTGGCAGTCAGACATCCTTAGCGCTGCTGTGGAGGTAGGAGAGGATCCTGCCACTGCCGCTGCACTCACCAGCTGTATGGGAGTGCATTGACCACCAGAGGGCAGCTCCTGCATTGAGTGTCTACCTCCTGGTGGTCGGTGCGTGTCATAGCAACTGGTTGTTCCACTGTGCAGTCAATTGCATATTAGCCTTTTGTTATATAGGACTAGAGGCCCAGTGCACAAAAATTTGTGCACTGGCAGGGGAGGGGGGGTGGGGGGGTGTCCCTCAGTCCCACTTGTGCCCTTTCACTGTCTGGGACCCCTCGGGAGAGAACACCTGCTGGCTTAGGCCCGCTCCCCAGGTGGCAGATGCAGGCCCGATCCCTCGGTGCCTGCCCTGCCTCCCCGGGTCGCGCACACTGCAGGGCCGATCCGGGGGTTGGGGCGCCACCCCGGGTTGGGTCGCACACGGGACGCTCGGGCGGGCCAGCAGATTGCTGCTGCCCCGCCCAGCTGCCCCGGGTTAGGTCGCACATGGGATGCCCGGGAGGGCCGGCCAAACACTGCTGCCCCACCTGGCCGCCCCGGGTCGGGTCGCACATGGGACTCCCGGGCGGGCCGGCGGATCGCTGCTGCCCTGCCCGGCCGCCCCAGGTCAGGTCGCACACCGGACGCCCGCCACCCTGGATCTCAAAGAGCAGGCCCAGATGGCGGCAGGGCAGGCAGGATGGCGCTGTCCCACCCTGCCTGCAGTATGCAAATTAGCCGCCATCTTTGTTGGCAGTTAATTTGCATATCGTGCTGATTAGCCAATGGGAGGTGTAGCGAAGCTACAGTCAATTACCATGTTTGTCTATTTTTAGATAGGATACCACCAGGGATCTAGGCCATGTATAAGAACTGGGGTTTTTACATTGAATGAGGTGAAGAGCTATTGGATGATTTTGAGCTGAGGAGTTATTTATTTGATTGGACTCATATTTTAAGAATTGAGCAAACACCGTGGCTGCTGTGCTGAAAAGACTGCAGGGAGGAAAGGGCTGAAGCGGAGTCCAGTTGAGAGACATT